CTCTGTTTTTATATGTATCGATTAATTGCGTTCTTCGTGTTCAGGAGCTCTGTGTTCGGGTGTGTGATTTCGTTTTTTTCCAAGACTTTGGTAAAAAAGTGCCTAAAGTTTGGTTTGAATCTCCATGGCATCAACTGACAGAAGTAACTCTACTGCACATAGGATGATTTTGTTTCATGAGGCATTTTTTATTTTAATTTTTTTTTTCTTCATACAGTTATATAATGAGAGACCTTATTTACTTTTGGAGCTGTAGTTTTAGTCTTTTTACAAGCATAAATTGGGAGAATGTACTCATAAGTTTCTGTATTACTGTGATAAATGTAGGAGAATCAAAGAGTGTGTTTACAAATATACCAAAAAAAATCGCGAAACCAAATTGTTTGCAAACACGGCTCGACTTAAATCGCGAATACGTCTCGACTTGGTTCGTGAAAAATCGAGCTTGAGCTGTTAAACCGATCAAGAATGGGTCATATATCAGATGGGCTTGGGCCTATCGGTTGGTATTTAGTTATCAAGAATGGGCCTATATCATGGGCTTACCTTGAGCCCACCAACATAAATCTTTGTTTCTAGCACTCTGGAACCTTGAGAGGCCCGATTTACTACACTAATATTTGAGTGTTAAAGCTCATACAGTACTGAATATAAATAATGCTTATTGTTTCCTAAAAAGGTATTAATAAGATTTATTAATCAAAATTTCATTGCTTGTTAAAAACACAAGATAAGCTATGTTTGGTAAAACTAGTCGATAAGCTAGCTGATAGCTGATCAGTAATTTTATAGTCTATAGCTTAACTTATGACTTATAGTTGAAAGCTAGCTTATATGATAAAAGCGTTTGGTAAAATTAGCTGATAAGCTAGTTGGAATAAAAAATTCAACTAGCTTATTTGAAAATTTACCTAAAGAAGCTTATCAAATAAACTCGGACTTTTTAAAAAAACTCATCCTACCAAACGAGACTTATTTTAATATGGAGAGCTATTAAGCTAATCAAATAAGCTATAAGTTAGCTTATTTTATACCAAACATAGCATAAGACGTTTCTCATTAAAAGTATGCATTTTTATCCAAAAAGTGACGATTTGACCTGCCTAACCATCAGACCGTCTTAAATTAGATTTCGCGATACGTCTAAATCAACGTACAATTAATTAGATGATAGGATTAATCATTGCTTGAAAAAGTCAGGAACTAATAACGATTATCGTCAAACTGATTCATCAAATCACTTTTAGTTGCTTTTTTTAAATTTCATTAACCCTTTAATCATGATTTATAAAATAATGGAGCACTGAATAGTCAATTATCTTGAGGCATTCATCGAATCATCAAATGAATCACCATTACAATTAAGTATATGATCAATGATTAATCTTCTGTTAATTAATAAACAGGACCACTAATGACAATTAATTTAAATTTAATCACTTAAATCTCTAGGGAAATT